CCCTAGCCTAATGCTTAAAAGTGCAAAATACGCAGTGCGGTTACTTTTCTCCCCATTTTCATAATAGTACGACCGTTGCCAAAAATAGTTAAACTGAGAAGACTGGAGAGAGTTCGTGTAAAACCAACCGCACTTTTCGCAAACTAATTCATGAATGACTGTTTTTCATTTTTATTTTTTCGAGTGACCCGGTCGTCTTTCCTCATAACGATCGTTTCAGGAATGAGCAGCGATGAAATAACAGATTTAGAGGAGAAAAGAAGGCGAATCCTCGAACAGTTAAGGGAAGTGGAAGAAGGTCCGTCTTGGATTCATGATTGATTTGTATTCGATGTTTTCAGATGAGCCTTGTCCAATCAAACGATTCAAACCTATAGAATCCGATATCCCGGAGACTCCCGAACAGAACACTATCGACAACATTGAATTCAATAATCCAACAAATAATGGAGTAAACCTAGGTATTTTTAATTTCTGGAGTGTTTCTTATTCATTTCGTGGCTTCAGATGATTATAAAGTGATAAACCCCGAGCCTCAATGCAGTTCTGTTTCCAGTCCTGATACAGAAGATATAGCAATGTAATTAGTTATTCAGAAAGTAGCTAATCTTTGCTTCAGCTCCCCACCTGATGTAGCTAATACGGAAAGTAATAAAGAGGATGGCAAAGCAAATCCTGATCAGGTAGAAGATCTATTAGAGGAAGCTGAAGCCAATCAGGATAACTCGAAAACATAGTTGAGTTTCCATGCTCTCTATCTCTTTATCTTATCCCTTTCAGCTGGAAAATGGTGTTGGAAAACATGGAGAATGATCATTTCGATCCTTTACCTGAAGGATGGTGTCGGATGACTCACAATTGCGGTCTTCCAATATATTTGGTGTGCTCCGAAGAAAGTGTCTAGTTGTTTTCTAATCTCGACTGTCGTTCAGAACCGCACAACAAGAGTGTGTACTATGTCTAGACCTTATTTCATTGGTACAGGGTCCGTACGTAACCACAAGGTTCCTTTGACAGCGATCCCGTGTCTGCACCAAAAACGATTAAATGATAAAAAGGTTGTTATGCGGCTTATGGATCATAGTCACCTTGTTTCATAGGAAAAGGAAGAAACAGCTCTTCAAGACAACAGCAGAGACATAGATGAATTTGGATCAAAGTTGTTAGAAAAGCTTCCTGCTCCCCAGATACGTATTGAGAATTCAACAGATTATCAGCTTGGGCCAAAGGAGATAACCGATTACGCCAGTTCTATATTCCGATTCAAAAAACTCCAGGTGTGTTCAACCTTGCACGTGATTCCACTTCTATATTCTAGGTTTCACACTATGTTAGTTTCGAGGAAAGGAAAAGAAAGAAGAATAACGCCAGGTTTGAAGAAACTTTACGTGATGCAGGATTAACACTCGATGACGTGAAAGGTGATGAAGAGTCTATCATTTCCCCTTCCGGAGTTTGTTGCTTCATAGATACATTTATTTCTTGGATTTTCTTATAGATTTCACTCATCAATATCCCAACAACTGATAATCGTTTCCATAAGAAGAACTTCGTTATGAATCCTGCTGGTCGTACTTCACTTATGATCCTCCATGAGTATGTTCAAAGAGCCTTAAGAGGACGGATAGTCTACGATATTGACGAAACAAAGTAGGTGCGATTATACGAGCTGATATGATTTATCAAAATTTCAGTAAACTCTATAGAAGTGCTTATAATGTTAGAGCTGTGTTGTATATAAAGAAAAGCATTCGAATACAAGCAGCTCCTACTGTAAAGGAGAAGCTTGCTTTGCTGCAGGATCGAGAGCGCACGAAAGTTCTTTATTTAGTGGATGGAGCCAAGGATGATGAAGGCACTCGACATTCAATTACAGAATTAGAAATATCCGCTTCCAGATACCATAGTTATGGGGATAGGACAGGGAACTAGTAAACGTGCAGGGAAAATGGTGGCTGCAGAGATGGCATTGAAGGTATGCCGCTTCAACACAGTTAAAAATGCGTCATAGCTCAGTTTTGCAGATTCTGATGCCGAATTTACGATTCAATGAAGAACACATCGCATCCCTAGCGAATCAAGCATGTCCCGATGAGCCGTATGATGTTCGGGTAAGCAAGAAGTTTAGAAAAACAAGATAACTGTTTTTTCACAGGCGATAGAGCTTTTTGATCATTTGGCAATTGATGATCCTCGTGTGTCCGAGCTTTGTGTCAAAACGGGACAACCAAAACCTATGGTCATACTCAAGGTTAGACTGAATTATTAGATATCTGATACTTATTAGCATATAGGAAGCATGTAATCGCTCTATGAAGTTGCATGGCAGCCAACCAAGTGTTGTGAATCGTACAGTTGATCACCAGCAATCAGAAGTAACAGTGACTGTTGGTGAATATAGTTGTACGGTCAGTTCATCTGATGAAAATCCGAAATTAAAATCGAGTTGAAGGTGAAATCCATTGGAGCGAAAGGTGGAAAACAGAAGGCCGCGCAAGGTATTTTGAAACAACTGCATCCTGAGGTTAGAGTGGTCAAATAAATTCATCACATTGAAGAATTCATTTAGCTTCTGAATTTTGGATCCATCCTTCGACTGTACGCGAGTGTGCAAGAGAAAACTGACAAGATGGTTACGCAAAAAAGTCATAAAGAGGTTTATTCATCATTTATCCAGTTTAAATACTTCTATGTCCAGGTCGTGGGATTACAAAACAAAGGTTCGAGAAATGCACCAAATCACGCAGTCTTAGAAAAATTGCGAGAGGAAATGCGCAAAGTTCTCCCATCCAAAATCAGACGCTTTGAAATATCGACTACATTCCCCCTGTTACCGATGCCTGATGTGTTTCCGAATGAGAGAGAAGATATCGTTCAAGCTGAGTATAATTAAGTTTTAATTTTGTTACAGGTCTTAATAATAAGTGTGATTTTGATGTTTTCATTTGATACATATCTATCATTTTACCTCTTACTCTTTACACTTCACCCATCAAAAAAAGGAACGACCGGATCATTTGTTTTTCACGTAGAAATTTTTTTTTACGTGACGCATTTCCGTGAGGTATATAAGCAGTGGAACCTTTCAATCACATCAGTTGAGAGCTACTGAGCGGTTGCACTCTTCTCGTCATCGTTCAAAACGATTGTATTCCACAGCTAACCGTCCGAAAAAAAATGAACATTTTCAACCACAGGTTGTACTCTGATTATTATTTCCTAATTTGAACACATTAATTCAGAACAAGTATCTTGAGTTAACACAACAGATTTAATTGACAAAAATCATGCAAGCTATCACTTTCTAATTCAAAACAACAACAACAAATTCATGTTCTTATGAGTACGAAATCTTATCAACAGGAAGGTGACCAACATCTCCCATCATTTTCAATGACACACGTCCATTAGGTCTCACAGTCACCCATGTCAAACTGCAGTTTCCCAAAGATATTCTGAGCCACCCTTCCGGAGGAAATTGAAGTGCTCTACAAAATTTAAATTTTCTTCATCTGAACTCGATTATTCTCCAAACCTGCAAACGAAATACCGGATGACGTTGGCATGGCATACAACTACTTCATAGGAGTCAGTAGTTTGTTCAGGTGAAGCTCGATGGAAATAACGACGGAAAGCAGATTCTATGCGAGAGCCTTCGATGAAATACTCCTTAAAAACACTCAAAAACAGAGAGAAAGACGTTTCGGAAAAAATTATGGTAAGAATAGAAGAATTTTTACCGAGTGAGAAGGACGATACGTCGATAGCTCTGGTACTGGTGGATAAGGAGGACCCTCTTCAAGAAGAGAACAAGATATTCTAAAAATTGGTTCAGAGGTGCTCAAAACATGACAACAACCTTTTCAATTGAGGAGGTAACTCTTTGAGGATAATATTTGCAGTCTCTGTTGCTCGATTCTTAGTTGACATCACCAATCTGTCAAAATTGATAGTGGACTTTGCTAACCTCTGACCAATAATTTTAGCTTGCTCCTGACCTTAAGAGATCTTCATGAACCATCTGAGAAAGAGGCATACCTAATTCTGTTAGAAATTTATCTGGTGTGTCCATCTTATACTGACCATGTCGAATGAGCAAAAGGTGACGAGAAGCAGTGGCCTGAAAGGCATAACAACGAGTCTGGTATTTTGAATAACACCTACAGTATTTTCCTTAATCAGATTCTTCTTCTCCACTTCGTCAGCTTGTTCATATTTGACTGGATCAATCAAATGATATGGATCACGGCTGAAAACTTCGGATTATCGTTGAAAGTTCAAGCCACACACAAATCCCAGTTATCATCCCACTTTCCTCGAGGAAAATGCCTATCGAACGCCGCCTTATCCGCCGGGTTTATAGCTTTGTTCAATGCAGTTCGGAAACCGAAATCATTGTTACTCAATACATAAGCAGTAACAACACCCGTAGTAGGAATGGCTATACGTAATACTTTCCCTAATGTCATTGCAGCGTTGAGACTATTTCCGTTTGTACAACAACTTCCTACAGTGGAAGAGATATGTGTCAATGTAACTGAATTTGATAAATCTGATTTGATGCACAAGTATTTAGAAAGAATGTTCCAGCCACCAACATTCGCATAATGAAAGCAGAATTGAAGAAAAACGCAATGGCAATTACTATAGTTTATTCACGATATAACAATTTAGTGCAAATTTCAGTGATAATCAAGTGTCAAAGAAAAAAACAGGAGTGCGCGACGCACAGACTCAAAATGAGCGCGACGCGTGACCGCAACGCGCGAAAACTTGATAGCGATAGCTAGTATTCGGGTTGATTTGAATTTCGAAGTTCAGCATTTCAACGTAACGCTTTTAGTCAAGTTACGAGTTCATTTCACTATTATTTGAAAATATTATTTAATTCTTCTGTTTCCTCGAGGTAATGGACGGGTTCTGTCCAGATGAGATGAAGACTGACCCGACTGTCTTACAAGACGAAGTGCATGGAGATTTTCCGACTTCTCAGGTATACGCGTTTCGCAATGGTTTTGTTACACTTCGAATATTCAGGACAATGTGGATGCCTTGATGAGAGAAGGCGATGCTATTTTGAATCTCGACCGTGATATGATTGAACCTGTGATAGATACCAGCAATGTGCCTGCATCAACTAGCGAAGTCCCTGCATCAATTAACGAAATCCCTGCGTCAACTAACGAAGTCCCTGCTTCAACTAGCACTGCATCTCATGATTATGCTGCCGTTGTAGAAGAAAACGCTGCTTATGGTGATGAGTGGTTAGACTATTAGTTATTAGATGATTACTTTCAGAGAGAACTAACTTCACCCTCTCTACTGAGTTAGGAAATGTGAAAGAACAAGTCGTACATCTCTCTAACCAGAACATTCAACTACAGCAGCAAATAGCAAGCTCTGGTACGAAAAGTCAGAAACCTGTTGTTTAATATTTTTTCCAGAAAATGAGTTACAAGAACGATCTCGCTTGTTCCGACAGATGGAGTCATCCCGGAACGAATTATCTTACAAATGTACAGGTCTAGAAGCGGAAAGTATGAAATTGAAAAGTGAAAAAGAAGAACGAGATTCCGTAATCAAGATATTAACTCGAGAAAAGCATGATGTTCTATGTAAGTTTTGCTCTCTCATACTTCTAGACGTCATTTTGTTTTCAGTGGAGAACCAGAAACTTAGCCAGGAATTGAAAGATATTGCCAATGAGAAAGCTAATCTTGCTATTCATATCAAGAGCCTGGATCAGGAAAAGAGAGCGATTGCCGTGAGTAAACCTTTCATCATCTACTTGTCATCACGGTGTTTTCCAGTTTGAAAAAGAGCAAGCCACTAGGAATAAAGCTTTGTACGAAGAATCCAAGAAGTGGTTCCTGAAGGAAATGGTTGAAAAAGACAATACCATTGCAAAAATAAGACTGGAGATTGTTTGTTATTCTGTGTTTGATTGAAGAAATCATTTTTCTCAGAGCTCATCTGCGTTGAAATGGCAGAACGAGAAAATGGAGTACGCCAAGCAAGTCAAGGAACTCAAAGTTCAACTGAATAAAGTTCAAGATATCTTACAAATCAAGGAAGAATCTCTCACAAAAAGTATCGCATCTATCGAAGAAGTGGGTTCTGTGATTCAAACATGATTTGACTCAATATTTTAAGAGAGAAGCAGAGCACAGAAAGGAAATTCAAAATCTTGAGAGAGAGCTACGAGCAAGTAAAGAACTGACGGAGCTTTATAAAGATTCTATGGATAAGGCTGAACAATGTGCTGCCGAGTTTAGGTAAACGTTACTGTTTTAATATTTTTCATTTTTCTGTGTAGGGAAGCCTTGATGACGAAAGAGTCTCTTGCACGTTCCACAAAGGTTCTCATTGAGGAACTTCGATCGGAGATGGAAGAGGAGAAGAACACCTACTTCAACGACCTTTCGTCCAAAACCGAGAAAATTAGAGAACTAGAAGAAGAGCTAGAGAAAGCAAATCAGATGCTCAAGAATAGACATGCTGGTAAGCATATTATCTTCGTTCATTATCTATTCTCTGTGTCATAGTTTCGTTGAACTTAACTGAAGATGAGTTGGCGAATCTATCTCCGGCTGCTGCAGAGACGTCTAGGTTTGTCAAAGGAGGAATGACACTCACTTCAATGATGAGGTTTAAGCTCATATCATTCTTCTCCTAGATTGTTTTCGTTTTCAGAGAACAAGCTCGGTTAGCAGGAGAACTTGCTGCCGAACGAGAGAGAAACCAGCAGCTAGACCAGGCCATGAGAGAAATTGTGGAAGATATTGAGAGTTAGTTTCTCTTCTTGACTCCATTCCCATGCTCATTTCAGCGAGTGCCCCTCAACTTCTGAACCAGAAACAGCAGATTGACAAGATGTTCGACGAAAACACGTTGTTGAGAGATCAGTTAGAAACTGCAGATATCAACCGTTACAAGTTGGAGAGCAGTAAGGATGCTGCGGTTCGCGAACTCGCGTTTACCAGAGCTGAACTGGAGAAGTTCCAACGAGATCTGATGGACTTGTCGCGAAAGGTAATATTTAGGAATAGCATTTAAATATATCATCCCAATTTAAGCATCAACATCTCTTGTTTGTTATGGAAAAAGAGCGAATGTTGCGAGATACCAACAGCCCTCCACCTTCAGAAGATGACGATCGGCAGCTTTATGAGAATATAGTTCAACTTCAAAAGTAAGCTCAATTCGGGAATGAGTCAGAATATAAAACCTCTATCAGGCGTAATATGCAATTGGAATCAGAGTTGGCTAGCGAGAAGGCTTCAGCTGGACAAGCCCAAATAACAGCTCAAAACACTGAGTATGTTCCTTATTCAATTCTACAGATACTGTTATTATTTTCAGAATGGAAAAGTTGAGAAGAGAGTTGGAAACCTATGTCTCCACTAACACAAGATTATCTAGTCAACTTGAGCAGATGCAGACTGCTTTCGATACGGTAACGAAGAGCTCTGATGATATTTCGCTATTTTCCATTATTATAGCTTCAAGAACAATCTCAAAGATTATCGGCTCTGGTTGAAGACAATGTCAGTGCGGCGGAAGCCCGTGCCGCAAGACAGAAGGCCGAGGACCTCTCTGCTGAGGTTTGTTAATGTATCTTATATGAAGATGAGTATTCATAATAGTTGCGAGCTGCTGAAATGAAGGTTTCCCGTTTGGAGGAGACTGTAAGCTATTTGAGAGAAGAAAAAGCTTCCAGTAATAAGTAAGTTGGATTTTCCATTTGCATTTGTTTCATGCGCCACATTTTTCAGAACGAGCGAAGAGAAGATAGGTGCCTATCAAGCAACTATCAACGAGCTAACCCTTACTAGAGCGAAATTAGAAGCTGAATTTGAGCAGCAGAAGCAAATATCATTGGCTTCCATGAAAGTTTGTCCTCGATATTGTTGTTTATATCATCAAATGCTTTAGGAAATCGAGCTCTTAGATAAGGAAGTGAAGCGTGTGCAGAAGGAATATGAGCAATTATCAGTCACTGAGCAAGACACAAACAACAAACTGACTGAAATGACCGAAAAGCATATAGAATTACATGACAACTTAGGAGAATACAAGTAAATCGAATTAAACTCCGTTTTTCTAAGATCTCTTCAGAATTAAGTGTACCGTTCTGCAGTCGGAACTTTCACAAAACACTATCACCATTGGTCGACTCGAAGCCCAGCTTGAGATGTTCAAGACTAAAGAGTTCACAGACAAGGGAATGGTACGAAGATCTAGTTGTAGACTTTTTTGTAAATTGTTTTCACAGATGGAGTCGATCTCAGAAATCTCTCGCAGACTCAACTCTATTGAAGCTGAGAAGTTAGTTAGAAAAGAACAACGGATGGAGTTAATCGAGATGGAGAATAATTCTTTGAAATCCGCAGCTTCACGAGCTTCTGCTCAACTTGCCACGATGGAGAATGAAGCTAAAGTGCAACAGGTTTGAAAGTGGAATTTCGTTGGTTCATATGCTCGTTTAAGTTCAAACTGGAACAGCATATTTCTCTACTTGGCCAACAGTTGAACGAAAAAGAAGAGCAACTCCGGTTCAATGAAATTCAATTGGCAGAACTAAGAGTGAGACTGGCTAGCGTACAATCTCAGTATTCGAACGAAGATAGCACCGAAGGTTTGTTGTCGATTTGTCTTTTTAACCGTAACTAGCAATTTCAGACATGAGTCCAGAGCGATTGAAAAAAGAATGTCAACAACTTAAGAATCGTACTCAGTACCTCGAAAGTCAATGTGAAGAACTGAAAAATAAGCTGGCTCTTGCAGAGGTTGAAGTATCAAGGAAAGAGGATGAGATGATTAAGTAGGTTGAATACAGTAACAGTATCAAGTAAATTTGTTTAGATTGACTACACATAGCGGAAAGATGGAGACTGGATTAGTCGAGGCTCAGAAAGTGGGTGAACTTGAGAGAGTTAGATTGGAAAGCAGAGTCCAAGCTGCTGAAGGGTGCTTGTGATTATTTTTAACAGAAACTAATCATCACTGTTATAGCCGTGCTGATTCTTTGAGTGAAACTGTCGGTGAGCTTAGGAAGCAAGTCGACGAGAAGTCTGCTGAGCTTTTGAATGTTAATATCGAGCGTTTAAAGGTTTCGATTCTCTTTCTTCCCTATCAATTTTCTTTTCAAGGAGGTTAATGAGCTTCAGCAGAAGCTTGATGTACAGAAACAGCTTCTCACTTCAAATGAAGAAGAAATCAAGATTTGGAAGAACTCTGTTGAAAACATTAAAGAGGAAATGGAGAAAAAAGATCTTCGATACAGCAAAGTTGGTTCATATCCCCGCATTCTGTAATAACGAATGTTCAGATCAATGATGAAATTGAAAGTGCACAAAACGATTTGTTGGCTGCTCAAGCGAAGGTATCTTCATTGGAAAACCTACTGAGAGCTGAGCAGGAAGCTTGCGCACAAGCTAAAGAAACAGCTAAGATTGTAAGATCCATATAAATGTGAGACGAATCTATGAATTTGTGAATTCCAGGCTGAAGATGCTCGGGAAAGTATTCAGGTTAGCTTGGAGCATATGACCAAGAAAATAGAAGAAGATGACAAGACATGGAGAGAAATGCTCGAGAGAAGCAACAGCCAGGTTGCAGATTTAGTTGGCAAATATGAGGCTGTAAGTTTCTCTGTATCTTTTTTTTGATTTCACCTTATTTTCCAGGTTGTCAGCAAGTTGACTACCGATGATTTGACTAAGATCGATCCTGAAGCTCCTCAAGCTGTCATGACTTCTCAGCAAGGTGTCATTACGTTCCTACGTGATGAGAAGGATGCTGTATGTGTTTTCTCCGAGTCTTTTCGTTTACGGAATTTTGTTCAGGCTTTCAACAGGGCTATGAATTCAGAGATAGAGGTTCTTCGATTAAGATCAGAAATAAAGGAACTTTCTGTTCGCTGTGACCAGCTGGTGGCTACAAATCAGAAATTGTCTATTGAAAACGTTTCTGGAAATGCAGCTCTTGCAGAAAAAGCCGACATGGTGTGTTTCATTCCATATCAGCTATGAATCTTTCTTTACAGCTCAAAAGAATCGAGGAGCTCTTAGGTTTCCAACAGCAATACATGCGATTGAGAGGAGAGAAAGATCGATTGCTCCAAGTTTGTACCGAAAATCAGAAAAAAATCAAAGAGACAGACTCTGAAATGGAGAAGTTAAGAGAACAGCGCAACTACGCCAATAACATCTGCAAGATGAAAGAGGCTGAAGTCACATCCTTAACCAAAGAAACCGAAATTTTGAAAACTCGTATTGAGAGTCTGCAGAAAGAGAAAACTACAGAACTGAGGTTGGTGAAAGCAATCATCTAATGTACTTCCTTTCTTATTCTAGCGCTCAAGTAGAACATCTTTCCAACAAAGTTAAAAATCTTCAGACAGAAAACCAAGGTCTCCTCGTTCATGAGTCTGTTCTTTCACTACTTAGCGTTATTAATTTCTATAATATTTTAGGAAAAACTGTGAATCATACAAAAACAAGTTCGAACAAGCTCGTAATTTGGCCATCAAGTTCAGAGATCAGGTCAGTATTCATTTATTGAGTTATTATTATTATTACGTGTGTTATCTAAATAGCAAATGGGAGTCTATCCCAAAAATCTCACAGCTTCTCCTCCTGCCAAAAGGTCGAATAGTTTACTTTTCTTTTTTGGGAAGAGAGGATTGTAGAATGGGTCTTGAAGTTTGAACTTTGGCTCAATGATAGGAAGAGGAGTAGGCTGTAATACGTTCAGTTTCTCATCTGAAAACATGAAATATGAGAAGATTTGTTTTGTTCTGACTTACCCTTCGGGAGTTTAATCTCTGGCAGAGGTTTCACCGTGAACATAGACAGTAGAGGGTTTGGTGTGAATGGGTTCGCCAGTTCCAGAATAGGTTTTTCCCAATCAGGAAAGATTGGAGGTGGAAGTGGAGTTGTCAAAACAAACTTAAAGTTAAGATTCAGCTTCACTGTATTTAAGAAGAAATCAGTTTTACCGGGTCGCGCTTAGATCGAACGCTGCGCTTGTCTCGAGAGAATAGTAGTCTTTCTAAAAGATCCGGGTCGAAAAGTTTAGCCGATGTAGTTGGAGCAGGAGTGGTAGTTGTTCTGCGGAGAGATGGGAAGAATACGGCTAGAGATTTTTCGAGAATACTCTGTATGGGTGTCGTGAGAGGGATCAGTCTTGAGAAAGGTCTCACCTGTTTTTTAGTAATTGGAGCTACTGTGGTTGTAGTACTGGTTGGAATGAGAGTTATACCAGTCATATCTTTTGAGAGAGAATCGAATTGTCTCTGCCATGGTTCGATGTACGGACGTAGTAAACGCTCAATAAGAGGTGCCTGTGGAGTTGTGGTAGTAGGTGGTTGTTGAAGTTTCTCAATCATTTCGAAAATACTCTTCGAGTTAGAAAAAGGACTCTTAAGTGGATAAAATGTTCATGTATGACTTGTGAATACGAACCTGATCTCTTTCTTTCTTAACCTTCTCGGCATAAACTCGAGCTTTAGCATTCTGTTGCATCATATCAAACATATCCATGAAAGGTGACATAATAGGAGCGATAATCTCATTCGCGTCTATATCAGATTTTTCGTTCTGTAAAGTTAAGTAGTGGAACAGTTAAATAAGGATAGGAACATACCGCTAAGACTCCTTTGTAGTCTTCGAATCGAACTCGATTGAGAAATGGTTCTGTTGGATTTTTGTGAGCATAGAATGGCTCTTGGGCCAAGATTAAAAATGGTGAAAGCAAAAGTATCAGCCAAATCAACATGCTGTTGAAGAAAATGAATCGAAAGTGCATGAATGGGGTCAGGGCAAGTGAGAAACGACTTTCGTTTTCTTATGGGAAGATATAGCCGCTAGCAGATAGGGCAAATCGCTATTGTTTGAGAAACGAGGTGAACAATCGAAATATGATAATAGCTAGATAGAAACAAGAATTTTATTATTCTTTTTCTACCATTTGGTTTTTCAGATCGCTGCGTTGCAAGCCACTGCTGCTAGTGCTGGGGCTGGGTATGTCTTATTTTTTTGAAAGTTTAATAAGTTGTGTTAGGACCCCGAATGCAGCGCCTGCAGCGGCGGCGGCGGCGGCGGCGGCTGGACTTGGAAAGAACAAGAAGATAGAACTGGAAACTAGGATAGAGGAGTTACAGAAGCAGGTCGGCGATCTGAGGGTTGAGAAGGAAGTATGTTACAAGGTATAATCAGCAATCTCAACATTGGTTTCATTCAGAAGTTCCTGAATGACCTGGATATCAAGGTGAACGAAATTCAAGAATGTGAAATCCGTCTCCAACTTCTTACAAGCCAGCTTAATAAGATCAAAGCAGAGCTCGAGAAAGCTCACAACACTATTAAAGTTTGTCAGTTTATACAATATCAGTTACGTCGAAAATATGTAGACTATGGAAGCTGAGAAATCGGGCTTATTAGCTCGCATTAGCAACACTGGTAGTTTTAGTGAAGCCGTCCATGACTCATCTTTTGCGTCTTCTTCTGGACTGTAAGTTATTTTTCTTTTGGGCTCTCAAGATTCTTCTCTTCAGAAGTGCTACTCGTGTGTCAGCAGCACCATTGTTCTCTACGGTACCTGTTAGTTAACAAAAGTTAAAAAGGTCCAAGAACATTTATTTTTCAGTGTAATCCTGTTATTACTACATCCACTACTAGCCCACGTTCAACTCCAACTTTCGGAAAGTCTATCGTTTCAGAATCAGTAAGTGAACCTCTTTTATTTTGTTTCTCACTCTTGAACTTTAGAAACCAAATTCAACATCTGTGTCTTCAAATACTATCACTGCTACTTCAGTCGCTGGTCAAAGCAATCAAGTCTCGGGAAGTATTCATGTTAGCGATGAGTCCATCGATGAAGTTCTTAATGGTATGAGGAAGTTTACTGTTTGATGGTTATCATCTGTTTAAGCTGGAGGAGAGTCTCGTGACAGCGTGACCAGTGCCCCAGTCTCTAGTACTGACATTGGCAGGAAACGACCTGCAGCTGAGTTCAGCTCGGAGTCTGATATTAAACGACAGAGAGACAGCCCGAATGAAGCTGTAACTAGTAGCGAACAGTCTGCTGTACCTCAACGTACGTTCAATATTATTCGATTTCTTGTTCACCAGTCTGCTTAGATCACGTAGATGACAATTCCGTTGCTCTACCGCAAGATGATGAGAACAGCAGCAGCCAAGATGCCGTTGTATATCCACCTGAAGAGGGAAGATTTGATGATGGTATTCAAAACGATGAAGTTATCGAAGTACTGAAAATTATGCTTCTGTGATTCAATATCGTTTGTTTTTAAGGTTTTATCTGATGTAGAGAGTGATGAGTTGGATGAGGATTACGAAGGAGACGATCAAGACATCGTCGGACTGGACCAAGATGTAGAAGTACGTGATAAGCTTCGCACTTTCTGATGTTTATTGCGTGTTTTTTTCTAGCTTTCTGATGCTGTTGATGGAATTGTTCAAGAAGAGGGCGACGATGAAGAGGTAGAAGAAGGCGAGGAAGAAGATGATGACGATCTCAATGCGGAAGCTGATGAAGATGAAGATGATGATATCCTCGAAGTGGTAGAAGAAGGTAGAGGCTATAACACCAGTTCCAATTACGTTTTGTGTCAAGATTCTCGATCAGCCTCAATGGATCAAGATAGGGAGGCTGCGTCAGCCATCGAAGAAGCTGATGATGAGGAGAGAGCTCCTTCCTTGCCCAGACATGAAGAAGTGTCTGCCTCACATTCCATTGAAACATCAAACGATAACAGACCTGCGAGAATGCCCATAGTTTTCAACATCGAGCGAGACGATCAATGCTCTAGCAGGTAACAAACATGTTTACATACATAAGTTATAATCTTGAATAACCTTTCAGTAATGAAACTAGTACTACTACCGCAACTACAACCCATCCTGCTCCTTTCCGAGGAAGACCAGCGAGAGCTTTATCACGAGCTGTACCCTTGTATCAGAGGGGGAAACGAGGCAAACGCGGTAATTAAAATCATTCCTTTTTACTGAACATTTTGACATAAAGTTGGTATTGAACGAAACGGTTACTGTTAAATAATTTGTTTTTTATATAAATTAATTTGCTTTTCGTGTTCTCTGATACTGTTTCGAGAAGATTTGCTGATGTTGTAGTGATTAGCTATTAATACCTTACTTTTTGTATACTGTTATGAATCAACTCAGTCCATAATTGGGAATGTAGGTTTGTGTCTTCCAATCTCGGTAGGTGAGCCCGGCGTTCGAAAAATATGCAATTTTTATTTTTATTAACAAAAGTATGTTTTTTCAATTCATCGGAGGGTCCGGAATAGCATCCACTTTGGCTTGAGGAGGTAAGTCGAATCCAATGTTTGGTGGAAGCGGAACTGTTACGATTTTCTCTATGCGTACGGTCTCTTGAACTGGGTAGGCTGGAAAACCATGAGGTCCTCCACTACTTTTTGGTATCTGAATTATGGTTACTAGTGTATTGACTGATTTTACAAAATTTACTTCAGCGTAGGCTGCAGTTTGAGAAGAATCGGTTTCAGCGCCGACAAATGCAGGATTAAAGCCATTCCCGGGTGTGTTATGTTCTGGTATTCGTTCCTGGATCATTGGTGAAGAGTAATCTGACTTTGGAGGACCAGGGGGTGGAAGGAAATCACCTTTTGGTGGACCATAGGAGGGTACTTCATCTGGGATGGTGGGGGCTGAATAATCTGACTTTGGAG